CACTTTTTAAAAAAATTTTTTTTAGTAATTTCTATACCCAGTGTGGGACTCAAACTCATGACGACAAGATCAAGAGAAACATGCTCTTCCAACTGAAGCACTTTTTCTTTTAGTTTTTCTGATACCACCAGTCTCAGTAAAGTTCAAGAAGCTAGCCATCCCCACCACTTGCCTTTGGTTACGTCTTCCTTTCAAATGAGTGAATTAGCAAGAAGTGGTTTGTAGAAGATACTCTAGAAACTTACAGGATTAGAAACTCTGGAGCTGCTGAACAACAGGACTGGATTCTTTGAATACTCTGGGATTCAGAGCTCAGGCTCCATGTTTTAAGAAGTCCCTTTCCAATCCTTAGAGTTCTCGAATTTGGATCAGTTTTAGAATTATTTTGAAAGTGGGAGAGAAGCTTCTGATTGCATATTCTGTCTGAGGTATTATTTTGAAAAGCAATAACTATCTGGGGGAGGAAAATATGGGAGAATACAGAATTCATATTAAGGGTTTTGATTTTTTCCTTTCTGATGAAAAACAGGTCATTCTAGAAATGGCTTGACTTTCAAGATCAGAGGTTATTTTCGCTTAAATATTTTTTAATGTTTATTTAATTTTTGACAGAGAGAGAGAGAGAGAGAGACAGAGGGTGAGTGGGGGAGGGGCAGAGAGAGGGAGACACAGCCTGTGAGGGAGACACAGGCTCCAGGCTCTGAGCTGTCAGCACAAAGCCCGACGCGGGGCTCGAACTCGCAAACTGCGAGATCATGACCTGAGCCAAAGTTGGACACAACCGACTGAGACACCCAGGCGCCCCCAGAGGTTATTTTCAAGAGCAGCTTTAGATACACAATTAAATTGCACACAAAGTTCCCATATTCCCCCTTACCCCCTCCACCCCCTGTCCTCTCACCCAGGTGCCCTCACTATCAACATCCCTGAACATTTGTTATGGTTGATGAATACACAATGACACATCATTATCAATCCAAGTCCACAGTTTACATTAGGGTTTGCTCTTGGTGATGTTCGCTGATTTCTACTCCCCAGTCTACACAACAGAATTGATGTTGGCAATAGAATAAAGGCCCTCAGCAGACAATCCCATGCCCTTTTATTTACTGATAGGCTATTATTAGCAGGTAGATGGGCAGTGTGAAAAAGGCACTTAATATGGTTTCATTTGTTACCCAGACACAACGTTTTATTATTTCTCTAAGGCAAAATGGTCAAGTCAGACCTCCCCAGTTAGTATGGTTCCAGCTTTCCATTCCTTGCTCCAGGCCTCAGCTCTCTCATACCCTGTTCTACTTGGTTTTCTCACAGGGTTTATCTCCTTCTAGCCTATTATGTAGTTTACTTATTAGTTAACTGCCTGCAAGCAAGTAGGAATTTTTGTTGTTCACCGATGTGGCCCCAGTATCCAGAACAGTGGCTGACATGTAGTATTCACTGAATATTTGTCTAATGAATGAATGAATGAATGAATGAATGAATGGGGATACCTTCTAAAAGACAGGGAGTGATTTTGGTTGTGGTTTGGAGGCCTAATTAGCCATGACTAACCAGGTTCTGCAAGCCACTGGTGCTGTATTGCTGGGATCCTTCAAGGTCCCCGCTAGGCCAGTGTGACCATTCTAAGGTGTGAACAGGCTGGAAAGCACAGTGAGGTCTAGACATGTCTGATGTCCCCAACTCTACTTGTTGTATAAACTCTCATTCAACCTGGAAGCCCAATGGGGACAGCATTGTGGCCCCTGGCCAAGAGCAGCGTGGAAAGAGAGCCTTGAATGCTGTGATGCAGAGAAGCCAAGGTACGCTTCTCCACAGGGGTCAGGGGACAGGTGTGTGACACTTAGGAATCTGACCATCTCAAGGGTCCCAATTTGCCCACTCACATACATTCTGGTGAAAATAATGAAACCAAACTCTGGGTCAGTTTATAAATGGGATGGGAAATATTTTTCATGAGTTAAAACTCTACGACGACAACAACAAAAGGAAAAAAAACTAAAGGAGCAAAAGAAGTGTGATTTAAAAAAAAAAAACATGAATAGGATAAATTGGGATACAGAACAGTGAACTCAGTGAAAGAGGTAAAAAGTTTTCTTTGCTTTCCCACACAAGATAAACACTTGGGCCAGAGGATGTAAAGATGGTGGCAGGAGGAGATGAACCACAGTTCCAAGAAGAAAGCAAAGGAAAGAGGAGGAAGTCTGAACTTCTCTGACATCCATGCACGGGAAAGGAGAAAAACGACCCTTATGATATTTACAGCATGTGGCAACCTGTACTTATTTATATCCACAAAGCCTAACTATGCTATATTGTTTAAAGACAAAAACATAATTTTCTGGTATGTGTTATTTACTTACTTATCCCAGATTCTCCTCCTGGAACCTAGGCTCCAAGTGGACAAGAACTATGTGTTTTGCCCTCAGAACAGTTACAGTGGGAACAGTAACAGTGCCTGGCACAAGACAGGCTCTCTAACTCTGAGCAAATGACTACATGAATTAACAGCTCACCACATACTTCCCACTCCACTCCAGTTGAATTTCAAAAAACACTGTTGTTCTTCATGCCATGTAGGAGAATCAAGGTGTTCCTCCTTCCTCTATCAGGTACATGATCCCAGAACACCACGTACACAAGGGAATGGAAGGATCCAGTGATGCTGTTTTTATTTCTATACTATCTGCCATGCTAATTGATAACTTGAGACAGTTTATGCTGACAGAGTATGCCTCTTCACTGTGGTTCAGTAACTGTGACCAGACGCCAACATCTCTCCTAAGCCACAGGAAATCGGGGAAGGGCCCTCCTTCCCTCAGTCGCGGGGTTCAGTCAGCCCAGTTCAGAACAGGGGATGCCAGCCCTGTGTCCCCAAGGCTTCAGCTGCTTAAACCAGAAGCTCAGAAATGAGTTGGTGGATGGGCATGAAGAGAACCAGCCACTTCTCACTATTCGCTCAAGTCCTATGTACATCAGTTCCACAGCTAAACCCTTGATCACATGGGCTGGCTTCACCCTACACCACAGCCAGGGGTAGAATCAGGACAGACTGCCACTGCCACAAGTTTCAGGCGAAGTCCAACAAAAGAAAATCTGGACTAGTTTAATGTAGTCGAGTAAGCCCATAAAAAATGAAAGCTTTGCAAAGCTTCTTCTAGAAAGAGAATAACATGCCTACTAATTAGGTAGATTTTTAGTTACACTGCCATATATCAGCACCGTATTCTAAATTACCTATTTTATTACTTATAAAATTGTCCAGCTTCTGGAGTAAAAAAAATATGGACCAAGGGTCAAAGAAAGTATACTAAAGTATAGTAATTTACAAAGTACTAGAGGTTTTCTAAAAACACATTTTACAATTCAAGTCTTTGCCAAGTAAATGCCTAACAAAATTAGAATTGCAAGCACATTAGAATGATTATATAACTCTTGAGTTGCAGAAATCAGTATTTAAAAAGACACAGAATTAAAAGGAAATCACCAACTACAAAAGACAGAGTGGATGTGAACGTATCTGCTTTGGTATATTCTTCTGGAACAATAACTTTGACTAGCGAGCATGTGAAGTGACCTGCGCTGTTCTCTGAGTGTAGTTTTTGCAGGGCACAATCATCGGCGGTTATAACTTGGACACTGTTCAGCGAGGGTAGCGTCGGAAGCATCAAGCCTGCACCTTTCTGGAATGCAGGAAAACATGCGTCGGGTGTCATCAGTGACTCAGATGGGCTAGCACCCTGGACCCTCGGCCAGGGAACGCTGCGGTCTCTGCAGAACAATTATGTGTTCATGTGGTATATTTCTTAAGAACTCTCGTCCTAAGGTCGAAATATAAAATTAATATAAAGCTCAAATCACTCCAGCATGGATTTCCTTGCAAACCTCTCATGGCCACCTTTAATGATGTTTTTCTCCATTTCCCAACTTTTGATGGCTTCCAAACCCCTCAAAATCTGCTCGCTCAAACCGCACCCCGCACTATCTCTCTTTTGCTTGAAGCCAAATCTGGCATCAGTGTTTTGTCTACTCAGCAGGAGAGCAATTTCAACAATCTCCTGCTTTTTATAAGATCAGTTTATTCTTCCCAATATAATAATTAGTTTCAGATGACCCTGGTCACTGTTCCTCGGCATGACTCCACTGTGGTACCAGCAAGGAGAGCAGGCACTTCCTGTTGCGCTGTTTTTTTTTTTTTTAGGGCAAAGAATTTCGGTACTATCATGAGCCCAGCACAGAACCTTTGTAATTTACTTCTTTAAAACTTCAGCTGGGTTTTGATTACCTAGATGCTCAAAGAGACAGACTGAAATTACGATTATGGGAATCTCCTGTGTTTACTTTGAAAAAGGTTCAGATGAATTATTCCTCAATGTATCAAACTATAAGAAATCATGAAGAACACACATCTTATGAATAAGAACAGTGCTGGATCCCTGCAAACACACAGAGGTGGCAAATAGGGAGCCAATATGGTTATCTCAATGTCTTATACTGCAACTAACTTTAAAGGCGATAATAAATACCCATGGGAAAGAAAATTGCCTGAGAGCTAAGGATGTTAGAGAAATACCTGGAAAATCTCTGTTAACAGTGGTAGAAAAATCATGCAAGACATGTTTACAACGATGAGGATGATCGATATGACCCCTAATCAAAACTGGCAGAGGACGGATTTCCATCAGGGAGGTTGCTCAATGTCTCCTCCAGGTGTACCTAAAATCATCATGTACTGCACATTTCAACCAATTAATTCAGTACCAGAAAGGAATCATCTGTGAGTATTTTCACCAGCATGACCTTAGGTTATCCTACTTGTGAACCCTAGCAATCCCCAAGCCATGACTGCAGACAGGAGTCACCTTTATGCATACATACTTTGAGGCCTTCAATTATGAGTATCTCTTGGTGTCCTCCAGTCTTTGCCTGCTTAAATAGAAAGCAATCTCCTCTCTGCTTTAACATGAATTAATTGCATGACCCCTTATGGTTTATCTTACCTTCACATGTACGGCCATCTGCTGAAATTGAGAAACCCTGTTCGCAGACACAGTGAAAAGAACCATCTGTGTTTAGACACTCTCCATGAGGATCACAGAGTCCAGGCTGTTCACATTCATTAATATCTGGAATTGAAAAGAGTTCCAAATACGTGAAAAAAATTTTTCCTTTGGTTTCATATGATAGCAGACATACAGTAAGCAAATCCATCACAAAAGGGTCAGACACTTATTTTGTGGCACAACTATCCTGTCTGTATATATACCAGACCACAAATTGGATTGTTTTAAGAGAGAAACTATTTAGGTCAAATCATATGAATAAGCCAATGTTCAACCATTTTTAATCTACACAAAGAGTATTTTCGCTTTCATAGGTTCAACCTGGAGGCCCCCCCCATGTTCCCCCCCTGCCCCCATTTAATTTTAAGACCTGTTGGAGGCTTACAAACATTCTAACAAAAAATTTGTCTGAGAAATAGTCTTTATCAGTGAGCATGCTGTGTTCCCCTCGCCCTCCTCCATTTCCATGCACACAAATCTGTTCTAACACCAAGCATGCCACCGCCACCCCATCCTCTCCTACGATGTGAACTTTTTTTTTAAGTTTTTATTTTTGAGAGAGAATGCGCACGTGCGAGTGGGGGAGGGACAGAGAGGAGAGACAGAGGATCCCAAGTGGGCTCCATGCTGACAGCAGAGAACCTGATCATGATCCAAGCCAAGCTGGATGCTTAACCAGCTGAGCCACCCAGGTGCCCCGATGTGAACTTGAGGGCACAGATGGACACATCTTATTGACAGTGTTTGGCTCCAAGTGGCACTTTACATATGTCTGCCGAATATATAAATGAAATAGACTCCAATCTATATTTGGTTGAAAATGGATAAAAGAAATAAAAGTACAAGAAAAAGAAGACCTTTCAGACCAGGAAAGTGTTCATTACCTGCACAGCTTTGTGATGATGCAATTAGGGAATGAGGATCAAATGCCTAGTGCAGAGCCTAACATACAGCTAAGGGCCAAAAAGTGGTAGCTATGATTATTTTTTTATAATGTTTATTTATTTATTTTGAGAGAGAGAGAGAGCGAGCAAGCATGAGCAGGGAAGGGACAGAGAGTAAAAGACAGAAAATCCCTGATGTGGGGCTCCATCTCACGAACTACAAGATCATGACCTTAGTTGAAATCAAGAGTCAGACACTTAGCCGGATGAGTCACCCAGGTGCCCCACTAGCTATGATTATTAAGACTCATGAACAAATAATGCTGTAAACTTGTGTCGGCCATCTTATACTCTGCTTGTCCTGAATGAAGAATGATTATGCTCCTCATGGCCAGGGTCATGATTCACTCCTAAACACTGATAGTACATGAAAGTGAAATGTTCATCAAACTAGTCCTAATCATTTTGGATAGCAGTGCTCACACTGACCACATCAGCAATCCTGGAGAATGTTTCACCTAATCACACTGGTACCGATACAGGCAACTACCTATTTGCACTTGTTTTAATCGTTGTTTTACTCAGCTGTGTCTCTTATTACAAGTTCCCTTGAAGAGAACTGCATAGTTGAATGGAGTCCCTAACTCCTACTACAGCACATTCATAATGTATTACGAATATTTGCCCACCACAAAATTTCAGTGATGTTCATTCTCTAATTAAACCATGATTCGTTGAGGAATTCTTAGTTAACTGGGGCCATGAAAACTATCACAGGTTCTTGGCACCTTGCAGGCAGGAACCCTAGTAAGGCTTTTGCCCTACCTTCCTGGAGTCTCCTAAACCCTCCTTTACCTCTTGGTAAAGAGGCCCTTGATACATCTTTCTAGAAGTCCATCTCTAATTCAATTAAAAACACTTACTGAATGCTTTTTTTAAAAACAAATTTAATGTTTATTTATCTTTGAGGAAGAGATTGAAAGAGACAGAGCAAGAATGGGGGAGGGGCAGAGAGCGAGAGAGACACAGAATCCAAAGCAGGCTCCAGGCTCTGAGCTGTCAGCCCAAAGCCCGACACGGGGCTTGAACCCATGAATCGCAAGATCACGACCTGAGCCGAAGTCAGACACTTAACCAACTGAGCCACCCAGGCGCCCCTCACTTACTGAATGCTTTCTATGAGAAGGCTGAACAGGCTGGGGCACTTGCCATTTTGAAGCTCACCGTGTAACGGGGGGCAGGAGCCAACACGAATAACTGCCAAGCTTAATGGGCACATGGGAAAGGTATGGATTATAAGCCCTTCCTAGTGACTTCTAGAACATGCCGAACCATCAACCCTACAGTTCTCCTCCAGAAAGTCATCCCTTTCTCTGCATCCAGAATGCAGGTGGTCTTCCTTTTACCTACTCATCTCATTGTGTGACGGAAATGCTGGCAGTATCACTGATTTATTCACTTCTCTGAATTAATCCTTAACTCTTCACCATTCCATCCACCATGTAATTCGCACTAGCTGGCCTAACCACCACTGAATCAAAATAAGAAACCAAGCAGGAATTACTCATGTTTTCTTAACAATACTCCCCCATTTTTGTTATTGGCACTAACTTAAAAATATTTCAAGGAAGAGCAATGAATCATTTTCTATTCGACTATTTCTCAATGTGACTTCACTCTGTGAAATTCTTCACTTCTTTTATAAAATCTCTGATACCTTCTATGATTGGTCTCTACTTACTGGTAATACCTTACATTGGTCACCTCTTTTTAACTCTGACCTTCTCTGGGCTTTTAGTTGCATTCTTTCTTCCCAATCTGCTGCCCTGAGTTACTTCTATCTGGGCAACAAGGTTCAATAAAGTTCCACTGGCCTAGGGGTCAAGCCCAAGGTCCATATCCATCTGGTGAAACCCAAAAGGTTATCCATAGGCTTATTTTATCCTGTGCCTCAATGTTGGCCCTTTAAATGCTGCCAGCTTGCAACTCTGCACAGGGAATAATGTGCATAAAGTTCTTGCTTCAAGAGAAGTCACTGATTAACAAATAATTGTCTAAAAAGTTTGATGACAGGAACTGAAGACGAATTCCCAGACTTTTTTCCAGGAAACCGCTAAAAAAGAACAACATGAGTATCTGGAACTAGAGAAACATATGCATTCAATTTGGGTTGTACTTATTGAGGCATTTCTAAACTATGCTGCTAGTAACTCAGCTGAAAGCCAGACTATATTTAAGTTGGGTTTCTTTCATGGGTCCGAGATTCCACAGAAATTCACAGTTTGGCATGTGTAAGTCAAAACGCGAAACTGAAGTGTGTTCTGAATCTCAAATGTACGCTGTCACATTCCTACACAGACTATTAACATGGAATTTCCATGCTGTCTGTATCTCAGCATTAATTTTGCTGGGGGAAGAGACTATTACACTTCCAACTGAAAATGCCTTACTGAACATGGAACTATCTTCAGATTGTTAGGTAAAGTTTAAAGCTTACGTCTATCGCACATGGTCATTCAAATATGTCCTATGGTTATTAGCACTGGCATCAATTACATTGTCAGCATTAAAACAAACTCTGAAATCTACGCCCATGTACAGAATGTGACTAGCCATGAGACTAGACAGAAGTAGACCAGTGACTTCAGGCAGAGTGAAAGATCACCAGGCTGTCTCCACTGACACAGCCAAAGGAGAGGATTTAAGACATGCCATTTAGTACATGCCATTGTAAACAGCCTCTAATCAGAGAAGGTGGGTGATGTAGCAAATTCATAGATAATATTCTTTAAACATTACTAAAACCCCCTTTCAGGAATATTTTTCATTTGTTTGGATTTAAGTTTTTCAAGCACACATTGTAATTTATTCTGGAAAACAAGAATCACCAATGTGACAGAGCATGAAGTCAATTTAATAATGATTTAGAGTTCATAAAACATGTTTGGAGGAGTGACATATTTGAGTTGATATCAAATCACAAATTTAATGTACTGAGAGAAGACAGTAGTGCAATTAATAAATCATATGACTAAATTACTTCCTTATGATTTGACTCTAGAAGTTTATGAAATCTGCAATATGAAATCACTATCCACTTACACAAGGCTTGGTTTGCCTCTAGCAGGTCAAAACATTGTGGGGGAAAGGAATTAGAAAAGAACGAGGAGTTAGAAAAGAAAGTATCACTTTTAAACCCAAATGTCTATAATAAAAGCAGGTTACAGTTGTTTTTTAGGGGGCATCTCTTGGCATTTTTATATAAGCCAAGATCCATTTTAAGATGCAAAAGTTCCAAAATGGAAATATTCACACATAATTTTATAATTCAAATATTTCTCCTCTATTGTATTAAATCCAAGCACATTTAATTTCTGCATTGGAAATACTAAACACTTTAAATTCACCTTACTACATCAAGATGGCAAACAAATAGAGGGTATCACAGTATAGTTAAATCTTGGGATCAGTAAGTAAATTAATTTTAAAAGATCTTGAGGCCAGGGCTCATGTCTTTTGTATTTCAGTGGCACACAGCTGGGTGTGTGGGTAATGGTATGGACATAGGGTAGAGTAATATTTCAGTACCACATCGTAGAGAGTACAGACCATCTACCCTGTCAAGTACTATACATCTGGGGCATGTGAAAGGAGACACAATTGATGACCATCTACAATAAGAAAGTCACTCATGTCCAGTAGCAGTAGATAAAGAGGAACTCTAACAATCCTTTACTTATATGTACTTTGGGATAGTAATGGAGGGGAGACAATGATGAAAAAAAAATTTATCCAAGTAGCAGAAATGAATCCGTATAAAGGTAAATATAAATGAGAGCCTTCAATGGAAACAACAGGCATGGATTTATGAAGACTAATGTAAAGGAAAACTTGGGGGGGGGGTGGTGTTTAGATAATCTGATTTTTTAGTCGCAGCATTACTGGTAACTCAGTGTGCTATACTGGGGGGAAAACACTGAATCTCACAGTCTTCTTTATTTTGGCTATAAATGAAGTAATAATCGGTAGGGCAATGTAGAGCAAAACAGCAGAAAAAGATCTTGGATTCGAATCTCAGCTCCACTACTTATTAGGGAGGAGCATGCTAATTAACTTCTCTGATCCTCAGTTACTCATGCACCAAATGGATATTTTAAAAAGCTGCCTGTTCAATTCTCTAAAAATCCCTGAGGTACCTATAGTAATCGGCACATAGTAGGTGTTTGATTAAAGCTCTTGTGATTGGTGCTGTGTTCTTATTAGTACCTTGTTTCCTCTACACCTTTGTTTGGGAGATGAACTGTGATAGCCCTTTGAAGAAATAGGAAATCCTATCTTCTATACCTTTATACTTTTGACCAAATTATTAATGAGGTTTTTTAGGAAGAGGAAAAGCTGGATACAGGATAAAACAGGGATCAAGACAAGGAAAGATAAATACCAGCAATGAGACAAAATGAAATACACCCACAAAGGACATAAAAAAGCCAGACTTTATAATATAGCACCAAGATTGGCCCGTGGAAGGAACAGCAAAGTACAGGTGACCTCAGTTGCCACGATAGCTTGCAAAGCTGGCACACAGTTCCAAAAGGCAGGAGTTTCGGTTACCATGGTGCAGTGCAAAGTGAGAACTTCTCATACTTGATGCAGACCCAAGAAAGATATTTTAATACCATTAACTGGCACAGCTCATTTATATACAAATGGGTAAAGCCACAGACTATATTCAGAAAGCATCACAGAACTGAACAACTATGTAAATTAGGACTTAAAAAACAGAGAAATACCTTGACATCCTTTATTGTCATTTAGCTGGAATCCATCTGGACACGTACAATCATAGGACCCTTCGGTGTTAATGCAGTCTCCTCCTTGGCAAACACTCTTGTCCTCCAAGCATTCATTGATATCTATAAGTCAATTAAAATAATTTTAAAGGTGGAATAAACTATATTTAAAAAAACTAAACATTACCCTTACACATAAAAATCACATAAATGAACATTGTTTTACATCTCACACAATACATGATTTTTAATGGAGGACAGATTTCTAACTATCAGAGTTTTTTGAAATAAAGTATTTTGAAAAGATTTTGGCTTTGAACAATACGTAAATTAAAGTTTCAACATCAAATGAAATTTGCAAGAGGAAAAGTCAAAACTCTGTACTAAACAATTTACTTGTTTACATTCTTGGTGATAATAGGGAATAAAAAAGATTCTTCAAATACGTATTAAGAATATCTTGAGCATCTATTTATACAAGATCCTGTATTATGCATTACAAGAAAAATTTGAAAGTATTTGGCATGATTCATGCTCACAAAGAGAAATGACTGTTCAAAGAAACCCAAATTATATTAATCAAAATGAACACGAAATATCACATTGTTTTATAAGTTCAAAAAAATTTAAGCTAAGAGTTGTCAAAATATATAATCACTTGTCAAAAGAATGGTACCAACTTCACGTGTCACATGGATTTAGAGAAGAGGTATCATAAAAAAACAAAGGTGGCTTTGCCTAACAGAAGGGATTTACTTGAGGCCTCGACAGCAGGGTGGAAAGTGGAGGAGGGGAAGAAGAGGAGATTTTGGAGGGAAAGGGAATCAGCAAGATCAAAAGCTTCACTGAAGCCACTTACTCAGCAGCTATCACCAATAGGTTTGAGGTTGACTGGATTCTTTAAATGTATGTATTTATAGCATATGTGCAACTAAACATGGTTTACGTTACCAATAATGAGTTCTGACTGTGAGCGTGTGAGACAATTAATGACCCCCCTCATGGCATGAATGCTGGGCAGATCTTTCAAGAGGGCTGTTTATTACCACATTTACTTCCAGTCAGAGCTCATTATCCCTAACACAGTCCATGACTCCCTCTTCTGTTGTCTGTACAGGATTTCAATTATTAGCACTGCAGAAAGCTGAGGAACAAAAACGTCTTTGTTTTCTCAGAATTCTGGCATAGGATGGCATTTCTTGCAAATAATTATGATTGCTGTGAAAATGCATGAGAAGTTCCAGGAAGAAGTGAACATGGAGACTGCTGTAGTCTCAACCTCCCTCGCTGTCTCGTTCAAAATGCTGGCACACCAGCTTAAATTTTCCTCATAGAACCCAATCCACTTAACTAACTGGCTCCTGTACCATTCATGAGTCAAATAAAAGAGAAATAAGAAAGCAGCTTATAATTTTATTCCACCAAAAGAAAAACAAGTTATACTTGTTTTATGCTTCCCCTAGATCAAAATGTTTCTGAATCCTGATCCTAAAAATAAAACCCAGCCGATGTGACTTTGTCAAAACTGAAGTGGGTTATCACTTTTTCCGACTTCACGGACGTATAACTTATATACAATACGTGCATCTAATTTTAAGAATCCAGTTCAATGACTTTTGACAAATGTAGATACATTCTTGTGACCACGGTCGGAATCAAGGTACAGGCATTTCTGTATCGGTTTACATCTGCTGGGATCACTGTTGGATTCTTCTATCATTGCAAAATGCAATCATTTTTTAAGGAACTGTGAGAGATCTCTGTAAGAATGCTATTCTGTAGTTACAGACCTAAGGCTTGTGACATTTCCCTTTGACTCTTTTGCCAGTCTGACCTTAAAATTTCCATTCATAATTCATCTAATGCCTTGGGTGTTACAACTGCCATGGAAGAGACACTAAAAGAAAATTATGCACGAGACAGGTAAGAGCATATGCAGGCATAAGTGTCCCCATGAAATGTGAATACGCCACAGAATATTTTGTTCACCAGCGAACTGACCCTTGCTAAATCAAGATTTCTAAAAGATTTCTAATTGAGAATAGACTTTTAGATATAAATTCTATGAAAATAATTTATAAGCCCCAAATCTCTGATTTATTTTCAATAATGACTGTGCCAAATGGGAATAAATACTAGTCTACTATGAATCTTTGCCTTAAAATATGCATTAAATGAATCAACTGGACCAGCCACAGGAAAAAAAAAAAAAAAGGTGTAGGCATTTCCATCACCCTAAAAATTTCCTTGTGCCCTTTTTCTGTGTGGCTTCCTCTGATCAGCACAGTGTCTTTGAGATTGATCTAAGTTACTGTGTGGACCAACAGCTCTCTCTTCTTTATTGCTTAGTACTGTGCCATATGAAGGTACTGCAATTCGTTGACCCATTTACTTAGGATGAGTAGCTGAACTGTTTACAGTGTGGCTATTATGCATAAAGTTTTGATAAACATTCATGTGTATGTCTATGTGTAACCAGAAGCTTTCATTTTTCCTTGAGTAAATTCCTAGGGGTAGAGTAGCTGGGTCACAGAGTAAGTTTACTTGTGATAAAACAGCCTCCTAAGGTGGCTACACCACTTTACATTCCCAAGGCAGGCGTAAGAGCTCCAGGTTTCCATATTTATCCTAATAGCTCTACAGCTATTCTAATGAGTGCTGAGTAGATGGTTGGTTTTGTGATTTACCTTTCTGTGTTCTGTAGGAAACTGAGATAACCAAGGAAAGGCATATTTGATTATCAGCATTATGTGAAAAAATCCCAATTCAAAAAAGATGAAGGAGAGTCCTGAGAGCATGCATTTCATCAACAAGAGAAATACTCCATTACCTAGATGTTTGCCTTAGCATAATGGAAGCATATCAGCTTTGTTCACACTACTTTAAAATAATTTCATGTTCATGCATTTTTCAAAATCTGAGAAATAACATGTGAGAAAAAGAAACAATATCTCGTGTTTATAAATAACTGTGTAGATTTGAAAACTCAGTGCATTAGAGTCTGATTTAATCTAAAATTTTTTCAGACCTGAATTCAGATCTTCAAAGAGAAAAAAAAGTAGTTGAATGTTAAAAGAGCCCAACACGAGACTGTCCTGCAACACCACCTAGGGTGGCACGAAAGACAGACAGAGCCCTTCTAGGATTGGAGCAACAGGCTTTAAGGAAACAAGAGTTAATCTTGGTTACTCCTTCACTGCTAAATCCTAAATCCTTTGCATTGGTCAAAATCGCCAGGACTCTCCACCCTGTTAAATCCCATGGTCAGTCCTGGCCTACATCTTCCCCAGCAGCAATATGTGTCAAACATTCATTCATGTCAAAGTTCATGACTCCCTAATCTCTGAAGTGTCTTCTTCTCTTAGATCTTGATTTTCCTCTTTCCTCTCCTGCCACATGTTCTCAATCCCCTTTGCTAATTCCTATTCTCCTCCTCACTTATAAATGAAAGGCCAGGACTCCATCTTTGGACCCCTTCTCTCTTCTAGCCATACTCACTCCCTTGGTGATGTCTTCCAATTTTATGGCTTAAACACTATCTCTATACATGTTAATGATTCCAAACCCAGGACTCACCCCTGAATTCCACATGCACAGTTCCAACTGCCTTTCAGAGATCTTCATTCCGATACTCATTATAGACATCCCAAACTTAAAGTGCGCAAGTTAAACTCCTAGTCTCTTCTACAAAGCCTATTTCTCAGTGCCTTTGCATCTGCTAGTCCTTTGAACGGAATGGTCTTCCTATAAATAATCAAATGCCATTATCTCAAAGAAACTTCTGCTTGCCTCTGTAAGATCACCCCCCTCCCTCCACACTCCCTGTATATCCTCCTTTATTTTCCTCCATAGTGTTTACTGCCACTTAATGAACTATATGTTTTACTTGTTTATCATGTGCATCGTTAACTCCCTCACTAGAATGTTACCTCCACAAAGGCAGAAATTGCCTGTTTGGTTTATTGCTGTATATCCTGTACCCAGGTCAGTACCTGGCACAAACTGGCACTCAGGTATTTGTTGAATGAATGCATACATGAAAACATGAGTGATTCTGACTTGGAATGAAGTGTCATAGGAAACAAATACTAGCACTTCTTCTCACCTTTTTCGATTGGTCCACAAAGAGAAGACCGAGAGAGACGGGCCACAGAAAGAGTGAATCCTGTATCGTTCTGAGGTTTTGCAAGGGACTAGCATGGAGCAAACACTGTGACAGGGTAAGGAAGATGCTAAGGGAGGTATGGAAGGAGAGATTGTATCTAGAAGGGGAACATGTCCAAGGCAGAGCCTTTGATGGCTGCGATGCCAAGGCCTCTAATGACCGGGACAGCTGAGGCCACCCTTCACAGACTGAGTGGCTACCGAGCATGCTGGAGTAAGTAACACACAGAAATTAGCACAATCCTTGGGATTCTGACTCTGCGAGAAGGCCAGCAGAATTGTAGGGTAACACTGCAAGAAAACAAGGCCCTTGCCAGAGTTATTAGAGGAAAGTTACACATGTAAATACAAAAGCCAACAAGAAAGACGGTTCTTCCTCCCACAGCTGTGAGAGGGGTGTGAACAGTAACAGCTCAGTTAATTACAGCTACATAACACTGGGGAGGGTCAGAAACACCACTAGTTGAGAATTAGCAGGCTGAAGTGCTATTATAGTTTCAAAGGGAGCACTGAATTAGTTGAATGGACTCCAGTCCTATTTATAACCTAGAACACTAGGGAAATGAGCCCTGACTTTAAGAGAAAAAGGACTGATTATATACTCCAAAAGAAACTTTCTTATTGAATATATATTAACAATGATGAGCAAACTGGCTAAAAAGCTTTTGTTTGGCTTTTCACACAACTGATGTTGATAAAATAAAAATTCCGGACTTCTGATGAGACGGTTACACATGAAAACAGCCAAAAAAAAGGAGCATGCCTTCTACTGAGGACCAATCAATGGCTTGGTTACCCTCTTGGCCAGGTCAGAGATTTGGGCAGGAGAGATGCTGGGGGTCAATTTAGGTTTTCAATACCTCAGCATGTGTCTTGTCACATACTTACTTCTGAAATAGGTTGTTCATGACTAGCTCCCAGCTACACGCCCTCTTCTCCCACCTTGGAAAGCCACCATGTTGAACCACCCATATGTGCTGGAGTTCCCAATACCTGATTTCTCAAGCAAATTTCATTACTTTGGTTTATCACTTGTTTGCCTATTTATCAAGAGGTATGTTAATTATAACTTTTCACTGGAGTTATCAGCCCTTTAAAGAACACCATTATCTTAAGATCAAATCCTAGATGATTTGCTGATTCAGCAGTAACAACATCTTAGGGCCTCTGCAACTGCCCCCAACTGCCCTCCGGAAAGGTTGTCCATGCTGGCACAAAGTTCTTTCGTTAGTAAAACAGGAGGCTATAAAGTATAACGATCTTTCCCAACCAACAGGGACTGACAAATGAGAAAGCTATCATAGCCATTTTTCAATGTATGACACACTGTGCCACAAATATGTCACATTTGTGTCACAAACCACTCACTAAAAACCTCATGTGCTTCTCTCCAGAGTGGGGTTCAGACCCTCACTCACAACTCTAACTCTCCATGTGAGACACAACCCTGCCAAGCTCACATTCCTGGTTTCACAACTGAGAGGGCTTACTTGCAGTACAACAGAGGGTAAATTGGGAAAAAATGGTTAGTTGGGTAGACAGTGAGCAGAGACAATTCACATGTGAACAGGCTGGTGACAGACCAGCCCTGCAGCCCAGACCACCCCAGGGGTTCTGAGGCATGGCCAGGCAGTGGTGTAGTAGGTAGTTAACAATTACACCATGCTGTATACCTGGCGTATCTTTTAGACCTATTTAGGCAAAACGCTCAAAACTGAATTAAACTTTAGCTCTTAAAAACTTTTCAGGAATCTAGAAAATTAATTTGTGTTTACTTATTTGGATGCTGGACCTACATACACAAGGTGTTACCGTTCAGAACTATATACTCAGGAGAAACCATCTAAAGCTGAGAGAAGCTAAGGCTAATTCAATTCTTTACTCCTTTAGTTGGCATAATTCTTCTAGAAAACAGTTCTAAGCAGTACAAGGAAAGCCTGCATTCTACCAGCTTCTTTTCATTATTTGTGTGACCATGAGGCAAATGTTTTTCCAGGGACCTAATGTCCTCAACTGTGAAGTCCAAAGGTTGGATTCAAGAAGAGAAGCCAGGATGATGTCCAGATCTCTCTAGGACCCTGCAATCAAGAGCAGTTCTCACCTTCACAGTGGTCTCCAAGGGTGGATGCTCTGTAACCCTGGTCACAAACACAGAGGAAGGAGCCCTCTGTGTTCCTGCACTGTCCATTACTGCAGAGATGATGATGCTGACATTCATCAATATCTAGGAACCAGAGGGTAAAAAGAAACTGTAGAAGTGGTGCTTTAAAAATATTTTTAATCATGCATGTAAAAAAAGGTCTATAAACTATCTAGTTTATAATTAATTTAGCCTCTTCATTAAACTGATCTCTAATAAAAGGTCATGAATCCTCCAGTAGGAAAAATCCAGATGAACCTAAAATCTTAACCTGTGAGCTAAGAATCTGCACATATTCATCCCAATATTTACTGATGGGTGGCAAATGCCTTGCTGTTATCTATAAACCTGAATGAAGCTTCCTGAGTCTCTTGTACAGGTTCAAATAGAACACTCTTGAGTTTAAAAGCATTTATGCCTATAATAATCTAAAGCAGAGGTCAGCAAACTACAGCCCACTTCCTACTACTGTAAACAAAGTTTTCCTGGAAAACAGCATCACATATTCATGTACATATTCATGTACTGTATGTGTACATACACATGTACACATATTCATGTCCACATATTCATGGTCTCCTGTACAGGAGAAGTTTGCCGAAGTGTCAAGTCAATGAATGTCTTCATTTCTTTTTCACGGATATACCTGTCAGCCCCCTAGCAATTAGACTTCCCTAGTTTTTCTTTCCTTTCCCTCTCTCCATCTCTCTCTCTCTCTGAATGATTTGCTGGCCAAATCTAATGGCCCTTCCCTCCTCTCAGCCAATCTGATATCTACATTGCCACTGAATCTGTCTCTTCCTTAACCCACATTTCCTCAGCTTAGAGATGATTTGTTTTGTAACCTCAACCCTGAGCTCAGGCTAAAGCACACTAGTGTCCTATCCACACAATAGAAGACACAATGATACATTACACGTATTCAGCTATTTTACCCTTAGATTTTAAGTTTCTTGAGGGCAGGGACTATGTCTACCACATCCTTTATTACTTAAATGATCTAGTGTTTTACAGTGAACAGGCATTAATTCATGTTGCTGTTGACAGACTTTGTTCCTCACATCTGAGCACATTTATCTACTGCTGGCAATGTGATTCTAGAAGAGTCAACAAAAACATCAGTTTCACAGCGACCCCTCACAACTCTGCTCTCCTCACTCTGCTTACAGCATCAATTTGATTATCATGGCATTTTAGCACCTAAAATCGGTTTTCCCCGATGGATAATCTGGTGGGTGGTTTTGCATGTGTCTGACTTATTTTTGGTACTGACATCACAGGCTCTTCAAAACAAGGGATGCTGAATAGGATAGCCTGATTATCTTATCTGTAGGTTTCTCTTATTATATATACATTTGTAGTATTTTATGCATGATGGGCATTTGATAAATGCTTGGCTAATTAACAATTAAGGTCAAAAGTCACAAAGTAAAGTATAAATACTTTGAGACAGACTTGCAGAATCCAGAACAAGTTATTTAATTTATCTGTGTACATGGATATGCTTGTGTGTGTTCTTCTCTTCTAGACTGGCTATTGTAATGTCTTTCCATGTTCAAGAAGGGGAAAATTGGGGACTGTTCTGATAATACTGGTAGATCTCGTTATAGGACCATCACATATTGTCTTTTATAATAGCATCCCAAGAGATATTGGTACTCACTATTCAAAGTTTACATATAGACATGGATAGGATTTGTTTCCGTATAATAAACAAATTGGCCTTGTAGAGTGTGTATTCTGTTCTTAAACGAAATTCAAATGATCTTTCTTTTCAAAAACTCGAGACACTTGATACTTGTCACAGGTGAAACCATAAATATCTTCAATCTCAGGAAGCATATACTTATTGAGAAGTAAAGTGATTCTGCATGAGGTTCAATGAAATACATATACTTTTACTCTAAGGTCAACCACAGTAAGGTCCAAAATACTATCACTGGTGGGAACAGGATTTATTTCACAAACCTTATCAGTGATATGAGGGGGATGCTACTTATTGCAATCTTGCTGAAAATTCTTGTTCGGTAAAATTTTTTTAAAAAGGAAAAATGGTGAAAAGCTGACTACACACAAAAACTAAGGTCATTAACATTCCACAGCCTAATACTGGGCTGATATAGTAACATTCTAATTGCTGAAATCCTAGTAGGTAAAACTTACAAATGAATTTAATGGAACTGATTTTCTGCAGTAAGGAATTACACAGAGAGCAATAATTTTCCTTCCTAATATTAATGCTCAGCCACTGCTCACAAATACCTTTTTTTCAAATTTAGCCCTTTTCCATCCTGTGCTATTGACTTTTCTGACTTAAGCTGAGGTCCCTTGCTTTCTTGCACCATTAAGCAATCATCCAGGTTGTTTCTGAAAGACACACTCACTTCACGGAGGACACTTTTTTCAGGGCAGGTGCCTCTAACTAAAATCACAGTAGGTCACGTAACCACACTCCTACCTTCACACTGGTCTTTTGCTGCTGACAGCTGGTAGCCCTGCCCACAGGTACACTGGAAGGAGCCCTCAGTGTTCTTGCACTGCCCGTTTATGCACAGATTCCCCTGCTGACACTCGTCAGTATCTGTAAATATAAACAAGGACAATTTTTTTAAATTAGGTCTCTATCTTATCAAAACTCTGAGACTACAAATCAAGCTATAAGACCACGTCCTAAAGATCAATGTCTAACTACTGTTTTCTTCTAAAAATATATTATTTTTTTAAAATTTTTTAAACGTTTACTTATTTATTTTTGAGAGAGGGCGAGCGAGTGAGTGCGCGTCAGAGTGCGCACAGTGGGAGAGGGGCAGAGAGGGAGGGAGACACAAAATCCAAAGCAGGCTCCAGGCTCTGAGAGGTCAGCACAGAGCCCAACACAGGGCTGGAACCCATGAACTGTGAGATCATGACCTGAGCCAAAGTCGGACACTTAACCGATTGAGCCACCCAAGCGCCCCTAAAAATATCTTATTATTTAAAATGCATCTGAAAGTTTTTGCCAGGAGAATTCCATTTGTTGCAATCCTTCCCCTCAAGTAGTACTAACAATTATCTGTTTCCTGATCAAAGTTGTATTTCTTATCCTGTCATGCGGCATTAATCTTTTGAATTATATCCTGATAGAAGCAAGGTGTCAGATTATCCCATGTTTCCTGAAATAGCTCCCAACACTATTACTGTAATAGGACCTCATGAATTCATTTTTAATTTTTTAAGAAAAATTAGCTTTACTAGCAATTTTTGTTTCACTTATTTATAAATAAAAGGCATCACAACACATTAAGTCCTGACTGCCAACAGAGAAACGAAATAAGCGAGCTGAATTTCATTTGAAGAATTATTTTCTACCTTTCCAAATGCTCTAAGTCTATTAGCTTTAGGAGGGGTCGACAGCAAAGAACAGCCTACACCGTATTTTCTTTCAGCACATTCAATTAAATACTTGAGATGTCAGCTTAAGATCTTAAGACCAACAACAGCTCGTGTAGCCTGTTGGATCTCATGTAACGTCTGACAACATTTTTAGTGCCTTGGACTCTTTCTGACTTTCTCAAAGAAGATGACAAATTAAGCATTCCCATGTGAAGATGTCTGCAGCGAAAATATACCGTCCATTCTAAGCACTGTCCAAGCAGACATCTTACATAAGTTACTCATTTATGTTGGGAATACTGTCAGAAGTAATTCATTTTAAGTAATGACACACACATTTGGAACAACTTGAGGTAATCCAGTTATCTTGAATAAGGTGATCTTTGGGTCTTTAAGATGACCAAGGGGGAACCCCTTTTTCTTTTCTGATGAGGCACAAAATTCCTATGACAAAAGAACACTTTCTAATAAAATAGGCATGCAGGACAAAAGTCTTCTCTCTCTTGTGCCAAAAGATAAATAGAAAGTATCATTTTCACGAAGCATGATTTCTTTAAGGGGCTTTTTAAACATATTATTATGACAAATCCAGCCCAGAGTTAAAACAGAGACTATCCCTAGGTATTTATAAATTTAGGACATACAGTGCTTAAATGTACAAAGAGATAACAAAGACACAGATACACAAAAGATATAAAGAAACAAATACTGATTTAATATACTAGATGATATGCTTACAACCTGAAAAAAAGTTTTCAGGACCTTTAGCGACATGAAAACAAAGTTAATATTTAGCACTAAGGTGAAATTGGCAGTTGTTGCAATATTGGAAAAGGGACAGATTTTTAATTTTTTTAATATTTATTTATTTTGAGAGACAGAGTGAAAGAGAAAGAGAGAGAGCAAGAGAGCACAAGCAGGGGAGGGGCAGAGAGAGGCAGTGACCCAGAATCCGAAGCAGGCTCCAGGCTCTGAGCTGTCAGCACAGAGCCCGACGTGGGGCTCAAACCCACAAACCATGAGATCATGACCTGAGCCGAAGTCAGACACTTAACCGACTGAGCCACCCAGGCGCCCCGGAAAAAGGATAGATTTAAGATCTGGGAAGAATTTACATCTTTGAGCTGATGTAGTTTGGGAAAGACTATGAAATTATTAGAGGAAAAAGGATGTTATGCGATTTATTATTATAAAAAGGGTAGGCTTTGACTGGGAGTAAGGAAAATAATTAGTCCATATGCAGGTTTCCAGAGCAGAAGATGGGGATCTTGCCTGATCCTATCCCAGACCATAATGCAAAGGAAAACTGGAATAGGGGCCAAGGTTAAATGCCACGTGGAGAGAATAGCCTTTTCACACCTCCAACCTTTGATTATGTGTTGCTTTCTCTTCCTCCTAAGTTCTTCTCCCCTCCATATTCAAAATTTTCAGACCAAGGTTGAACAGCAGCACCTCCGTGAAGCTTTCCCAGAAGTGTGCACACAGGATTAGCCACAGACTTCTTGGCTTTAACAGAGCCTTGTACACACCTTTAATGTGGTGCATAACAACGTCAACTACATGTCACTCTCTGTCTCGACATAATCTCCTTCTCCCCATATAAGCTCTGTTTCTGTATTATCACACGCAATCCTCACATCACCTGAGTAAGTACCATTATTGTTGCCTTTTTGCAGATGAGTAAGGAAGGCTTAGCAAATTAAGAAAACTTATCCAAGCCCACACAGCTTCTGAGTGACTGAATGAAGGTTTGATACACTATAATCCTCCTTTTTAAACTAAGCTCCAGACTTCATTTGGATTTCACAGGTTTTTTTTTTTTTATAATACATCACTGATAATGTTAACTTCATCATGTGGTCCTCTATCTATTATAGTAGTAGGTTTGCGTCTTTTCCAGCCAATAAAAGTGCTTTGAGAGATTAAAACCTCTCAGCATCTGCATTTGAACACAGTGCCTGGAACATGCGGGTTCCTTGATATACCCGGAAGGAAAGAAGGGAAGGATGAAGAGAAGCTTTTGCAGCAGCCCAGGAGAGCGCCACACAGAGCGGAAAATGAGTGTTTCTATGGCTGCCATCAGCTGATGGTGGGAATTCTGGGGCGCTGGGAAGCCTTGCCAGAGCGGGGCAGGATCATCTGGGATGACAGCAGCCAAGCATAAGAAAGTGGTAACGAGCCATTCACCCAACATGTGTCTCCTTGGAGCGTTATCCCTCTAAAAAACCCAATCCCCGAATTTCAGAGATGATATGAGATCTGGTAATCCAAGTTTAATGTATCCAAGGCTGCAGAGCAAATCACCAGAAGAACTTGGTAGGAAGACTGTGGACGTGGGCCAGCAGGAAAAGGACCTGGAGGGAAGGGAGATGAGGCCCCCCTAGTGCTCCACTGGGGGTGACTGGTGTTCCCCTGCATGTAAGGGGTCAGCCACCCAATCCAGAGGTCTGGGAATCTGCTCCTGCCAGCGGGAGAGGCTACAATTCTTACAAGAGAGTAAGATACCTGTTTACTACTAGCTACCATAGTGAGAAGTTAATCCCCACCCCACATCCTTCACTCTCAGTGAGACACTTCAGAAAGAAGAAAAACTTCACGAATTTCTTCCTTTCCTCCCCTTGAAAGAGCATGCTTGTAGGTATAAAGCAGTAGGAGCAGAAGGAAACCATCCACAGATTTGACCACAGAAAAAAATTAAACTTAAAAAAAGAATTATGCAGAGGAAATTAGAGAAACTTTGGACAAATTACAACAATATGCCATAAAAAAGTGTATTTGTAATACAAAGACACAGGTACGTAGGTTTATACACGTGCTTTATATAAAGTGTTCATATATGGTGATTTAAAAACTTGATAAATAGGAACAGATAGTAACATAAATTTACACAAGAAAAAAATGTGCAAAATACATGTTGCAATATGAAATAAATGTTGTAATAATTAGAAGTCTCCAGGAAATTAATAGAAATAAGCATATGTAATAAATATTCAATCTTTTAGAATTAAAAAATATATTTTTAAAATTAGAAATTAGCATTCTATCAAAATAATAAAAAACATTAAAGATGTTTTATCCAGTTATTCCACATTTATAAATAAAGAAATGATCCTTTTTTTTTTTTTTTTTTTTTACATAATGAGAAGGTGGAAAAAAATTATGGTTGTTCAACACATAAGCAGCAAGAAAATGCTGAAATAGTAATACACTGCACTATTAAGCAGCTTTTAAAAATAATGTCTGTAAAGTTATTAATGATATATAAAATGCTCATGATGTATATACTATTAAGTGACAAAACTTACAAAATTGCACATTAAAAATAAAGTGATAGAAAATATTTGTGAGATAGGACTATGCATGAATGAGACTGAGAAATTTTTTTTTACTTTTCTCTTTGCTAGATTTTCTACAATGAAGGTTTTCAATAGCAATTTTATTGAGATATAATTCACCACCACATAATTCATCTAAAGTGTACAATTCAATGGTTTTTAGTATATTCACAGAAATGTGCAACTGTAGTTTTTATAACCACAAGAAATGAAAAATTGACCTGTGGTTTATAGATGCTGTCTAAAACTATGCTGTTTTCCTTTATCTAAGTACGTATGGTCTGTATGTAACCACAGTGAGGAGTCACTTTCAAAGATACCAACAAAAATGTGCTCCAAGTAGCTCACTTAAAATACATGACAGGCAGCATAATTCCTTTTTTTTTTTTTTTTGGTTCCCTTTTCTCAGCTAGTTACTCGAACAGATTCTTAAATGCAGTTCAAATAAAAGTAAGAAATTCGATCAGAGTATTTACCTTTACAGTGCTTGTGGTCTGGGGTTGGGCTGTAGCCCTTGTGGCATGAACACATATAGGAGCCTTCGAGGTTCGAGCAAGTACCATTTGTGCAGATCTGTGGGTCCAGACACTCATCCACATCTGAAGAATGTTGCATAAGGGGGGAAAAAAACCACAAAGAGAGAAAAAAAGAAATAAAACATAAATAAAGTTGAATTTGGCTAAAAATAGAAATAGTCCATCTTCAAAGAAAGGACAGATTCTTTAAGAAAAGCTTTCAAATTAGCCCAAAGGAGGAAAGGCAGCTCCGGTGTGAACAACATGTGGGATAGTTCTACGCCTTAATTTACTTTCTGCAAAGTAACTCAAAAAAGGAACTGAAGATGTCTATGAATGAATTCAGCGAAAGCTTGCTGTACAGGGGAGGGAAGAAGAGAGGGAGGTTCTAGAGCAGCACCCTCTACAAAATGAAATATTCCAAAGAATCAAAGATGTATCAAGGTCTAGTAAGGGAACTGATTAGTTCTGCAGGAAGGGAGGGTTCACTGAAGAAAGGATAGGACTCATGACCTAGAGAAACCACAGGAGCTGTTAACAGAAAGGAGGAAAAAACCTCTGATACAATTTTCAAAGATGGCATTGAATCAGTATTATAAAAATCAATCTAGAGGACCAAAAAGCCTACTGGGCAATTTGAAGGTAGGGTACAGACTGCAGAGGCAGATAAAATAATGGCTAATCTTTACCAAACACTTACTGCACAAAAGCACTAAAGGCTTTATGCTTATTTAATCCTCACAAAAGCCATCCACGCTAACCATTTCACTGACAAAAGAACCAAGTCTCAGAGAAATTCAAACAGATTGTCCAAGGCCACATGGTTAGAAACTGGGGGTTCATATTTGAATCCACTTAGCCTGACTCCAAAGACCATCCTTTTAACCTGTTTCTAAAGTTTATTTTTTTTTTTTTTATTTTGAGAGAGCGAGCAAGCGAGCGTGTGCACGTGAGCCACCAAGTGGGGGGTGGGGCAGAGGAAAAAGGAAGAGAGAGAAAATCCCAAGCAGGCTCTGCACCATCAGTGCAGGGCCCGACGTGGGGCTCAAACTCACAAACCATGAGATCATGACTCAAGCCAAAGTTGGACGCTTATCCGACTGAGCCACTCAGGTGTCCCTTAACCTGTTTCTATTAACACAAGTTAAGTGTAGTGCTAGAAACCGCTGAAGAATTAGGAGTATGTTTGTTTTTATTGTTTGCTAACATAGCATTTATATAGAAAACAATCATCTAAGTGTTCATTGATTTCATTCAGCATTCATTAATCTCCTACTAGAATATTGTTATTTCATAAAGAAAAACTTGAGTTCTATGTCGCATTTGAGCACCTCTGGTAAGTCCACCGTAAGTCCCAGTAAGAAGACACACAGTGTAGCATGGACAACCAAAACCTTAAGGGGAACAATTTAAACTATTTAAGCGCTAAAATTACACACCACATCATGATTTAGGCTTAATTTTACAGCGGTCAATAATGCACAGCATCTTAATCTAAGGCAGACAAACAATAAGAAGGAAAATGCTCTTGATTCCATCCATTGCATTTTGCAATGCTCACCCTGAGAGCAGTAAAGCTTTCCACCCTCTTAAAAGGCAAAGAGTCACAAACACATTAACACAGATCTCGTTCTAATTCAGCATTTCACAGTTCAGACTGCATTTGTTCGCATGACATTCCATTGAAACTGGGTTATGGCTTTCCGACAATGATATCGAGAAACAGAGTACAGTGAAACCTTGGATTGCAAGTAACTCGTTCTGTGAGCGTTCTGCAAGACAAGCAAACATTTCTAGCACAACTTAACTCGATAAAATGAGTGAGGTCTTGCAATATGAGTAGGACATGATGCTGAATGTTACATGATCATGACTGAGCTACTGTTTCTTGAAATTTGCTTTGATATACTTTGGTATGCTTTGGATTACAAGCATGTTTCTGGAATGAATCGTGTGCGCAAATCAAGGTTTTACTGTATTATCAAAATAAGGCAAAAGCATGTGAGCAACCAAGCACACAGGCATACGTCTCGCATGCAAACAGAGAACAGCCGGCGAATTAGCACTGCGTGAGTACTCTACCTGGCCTTCACAAAATCACTTACTACTACTGAACTGACCCTACTCTATGACAACAAAAATAGCACTTCCAAACTGTCTCATTGTTCATCTTTTCCTTGGTTGTTGGAGTCCACTTTTATGAACACTGAATACAAACAACTTGAAAGAAGAAGCCAAACATTGGAGCCAAAGTAAATAATGGGACAGAAGGAGCCTAGACAGTAGGCATGTAAATTCCAGACAGTAACGTTAAAATGTCCCATCGAGGATCTGGATTGGCTTCAAAAATGTTAACAAGTTGAAAAATGTATGGACTGTTCTCTTTAATTATTCATGCATCAGGAAATGTGACTTACAGGACTGCAGAATATAACAACAAAGTCAGTTTCTAAGACCATTATTTTCTCTAGTCAAAGCAAATTAAGAGTGCAGATTATCGTTGATGAAATACTTATAAAATACTTGCAACTTATAAGTTACTTGAATCAGTAGTACTGCACTGCATAGTTAAGAGTTAAGACAGTTGAACTTAAAAGTCCTCATCACAAGAAAAACAATGTTTTAATGTCATAACTATAAATGGTGATGGACTTTCACTAGAATTATGATCATTTTGTTATATACACAAATACTAAATCCTTATGCTGTACACCTGAAATGAATCTAATGTTATAGATTATACCTCAATTTAAAAAAAAGAATCTCCATAGAGTAGGAAGGTGTGGCCTCACTTGATGGATATAAAAGGAGTGAAATAAAGTCACCATTTTATCTTTTGCCCACACCCCTCTTAAACTGCAGACCCCCACAACCTCGTTGGTCAGTCTCCTGACACTTCCACTTGATATGTCACAGGCACCTCTGAGTGTTCAGAGCCAAACCTGACCTTCCCCATGTTTTCATTATGCTGCCTTCCTCGTCAATACATTATGCTACTATCCAAATGCCCAAGTCAAAAACTGGAAGTCATCCTATCTAGATCCCTTATTCTCCCTCTTTCCCCACATTCAATTTATTACCAGTCTTATCAATTCTACCTTCCAAATATCTCTCAAATACCCCTGCTTTATTTCTTTCTTACTACCATCATTTTCTCTCACATGGGTTACCATCACAGTCTGTTTCTCTACTTGGAGTCTTGCCCTCTCTAATCCACTATCCAGCAGGTAGCCAGAGTGACCTAAAATACAAATATGATCAATGGTGTTGCTCCTGGGACGCCTGGGTGGCTCATTCGGTTAAGCATCTGACTCTTGATTTTGGCTCAGGTCATGATCTCATAGTTCACTGTCAGCGCAGAGCCTCCTTGGGATTCTCTCTCTCCCTCTCACTGCCCCTCTCCTGCTCACGCTATCTCTCTGCCTCTCTCAAAATAAACCTTTTTAAAAAATGGTGTTGCTCCTTTAAAAACTGTCAATGGTTTCCAGTGTTCTTCCATTCAGTCAAGGACACAAACTTGTGGAGCCCTGAGTGTTATTGACAGAAAGCCTGCCACCTGCCCCCCCAGTTCTTACCTTGAACCTTCTAGAAGATCAATGCTATGAGAAACAAGGTAGTCCCTATTCAGTCCACCATCCAAGATCCACACCCCCTAATCCCTGCTACAGAGAGAGATGGTTAGGCCTTTGGTTTCTAAATTAGAGTTCAAGGGGCACTTGGGGGGCTCAGTCGGTTAAGTGTATGACTTTGGCTCAGGTCATCATCTCACAGCTTGTGAGTTCAAGCGCCACATCAGGCTCTGTGCTAACAGCTCAGAGCCTGGAGCCTGCTTCGGATTCTGTGTCTCCCTCTCTCTCTGCCCCTCCCCTGCTCACACTCTATGTCTCTCAATAATAAATAAACATTAAAAAAAATTTTTTTAATTAGAGTTCGAAACTCATTTTACTCTGAGATTAGGATTATGGTTTTGTAGAAGTCACATTACCAAATTCTTATGAGGCATATACATAATGAGCTTAAAAGGGAAACATCATGAAAGTATGGTGTCTGTAGAAAAATCTCTTCTGATCTCCCCAAGTACAATTTACCAATGGGCTTTTGGACATAATTTGACATTTTCTATTCAATGAATTAATTAAAACTCCCATAGTAGGGGAATTACCAGGGGTTTATGCGGTCAGCACTTCATGGATATGATCATTCAAAAGTTTATGAATCCATCCCAGTATACTATCACCCAATCCAAATTCATCATTCTCACCTACAATACCCTGAGAGACTGTAACAGAGGTCTGTTGAAAACTAAATATGCCGTGCCTATAGGATTTCATGACCTGCTCCTCTGAGAAGCCCATCAGAAGAGGCAGTCAGAATAGCCACGCATGATTTGTCCTTAGTGAGCCCTGGCTGATTCTTACGATCATCTTTTTCTTTTAAAATGTTTCACCTTATCATTTGCATCCTGCAGCCTACAGTTCTTTGTCAAGGTTAAGATGAAGTTCAGTGGTCATTAGTTCCTGAACTGCACCTTCTTTCTTCTTTGGGGGGGAAGTGAGGACATTAATCTCTTTCTAGATCTCTGGCAACTTTCCATTCTCCACAATTTGACAAAGACAACTTTCCACTGGCCAGCAAACCCACCTGCAAAGCCTCTCATTGCCTTTGGATATAATTCCTCTGGGTCAGGAACCCTTTTGAAATTTCCCTTCCTCATGTCCTGCGAACACACCAGGCAGCCTGAAGCCCCTCTCTGGGAAGCCTAACCTCTGGAGGTAAAGAGGGTATTCAGTGGCTGACCTCACACAAGTCAGTCCAAGGCTGTGGTGCCACTTTCTACTTCACCTATCAGCTCCTTGAGGCTGGTCAGAGTTGATTCCAGAGCAAGAGTGCACCTGCATTACTTCCTGTATTTTCCAGGAAATGAATCTCTCAACACCGCAAGCCAGTCATTTTTCAGAGGCCATTCAGTCTCGTTTAATTCCTTAGTGGTCAACACAAACTTCAATGAATGAGCATCGTTTGATAAGGGAAGTAAACATATTCCATCACTATGGCTACCTGAAAGTATGAGATTATTCCCTACC